TCTTACAGAGCGCGCGCTCTTATTATTAATAATCTGATTTCATCGCAGTTAATGTATCGCTTTAATACGCCATCGTACGTAGTTCTGAAGGGTACAGAAAATGCTCCACTATCCAAGCACCTTTACAAAGATTGCCATTATTTTATTGTGAGCTCCTCCAGTGTTGGAAATCTGTAGATAAAGTGCGTAAGTTCAATGATAATAACGTAACTGATATTCTTAATGAGCCACTGTTTAACAACCCACTCATCATACATTCCATAAGAAATGAGCCTTTTGCGCTCAAACACTTTGTTGACGCGGGAATAACCAAAGTATGTGATTTAGTCTCAGAAACGAATAAAACTTGGTTGGAGGCCGCTGATATGTCGGATAAAATTAAAATCCACATTCGGAGCGTATTCTCCATCTCAGTATCAAGGTCATTCACGATTCTATTCCTACCAAATGGAAAGATACTATCAACACCTACTTCAAAGGGAACGGGAAGTGTAATCAACCTCTTTCACATCATAGCTTTGAACTGCACTTTTCTGATGAACTAAATTTGCCACTATATAAGGCCACACCGACTTCATTTTATGGATGACATCCGCGCGCACATTAGTTTTCGCCTGTTCTCAAAAAAAAAAAAAAAAATCTCCGACGACGAGTCTCCACAGATCGGTTTTCTATCCGGAACTTGCCGACTATTGTCGCAAAGCGCCAACTTGTCGTGAAACTCGTTTTGGACTAACTCAAAACCAAACACCAAACAGTTAGATGCGCGTTACGTAAAGCGCAAAGACCTATGGGAAAGAGATTGTCTCAAAACATGCCAATTTTGTCATAAATGATCCAACATGGCGACCACACTACCAAAATACGTGAGCATAAAAGTTGAGAGGTAGAACGGAGGGATTGTTGTAGACTTGTATGCAATTGACGTTGGCCAGGGAGATGTGACGTTTACACAGCTATATTTTCTGATTCGGATAATTTGCTTGCACACACAGCCAGTAATATTTTGATCATATGACAAATTTTCATCAGATACATGTACATAATTTTCTGCATTCAAATTGTTGACTCTCTGTTGGTGTTTTTTTCAATATCGAGCCTCTTATAATTTGTTACATAGTTGAAGTAGTTCTAGAGCATTTGTGTCTACACTTTGTCTATCTGAAGTGTCACTTTAAAAGCTGTAGTTTGAATGTCAAATTTATTGTTCATTTTTATATATTTTTTCAATACAACACAGTAAGTTTTTCTTTATTATTGAGTTGATGTGTATGCTTTTGG